AAAACAGACTTTTGCTATACGAAGTGTTAGAGAATTTTTTCTAAATTTAGCAACAGGATTTATTTACTTTTTCGTTACCAAGGCCCTGTAATAAGAGATTTTATGCAGACATTCAAGACAATTTTTAAGCGCACCATTACAGCATTACATACCTTTCTCTCTGCCCCCTAAAAATATTTTCGGATAATTATTAAAACAAATAAAATCGTCTCGCAGCGTGAGCTGAGTTTAGCTTGTGTCATTCTACACATCTCATCACATTAGCATTACCTGAAGTATAGAATATGGTAATGTACCCAGAATCCCTTATAAATGCCAATATTTCTCTTAATTTGAATTACCTGAGTAAATATTGACTGGTTTATTTATATTTAAATCCATTATTATTAAACTTATTCGTTATAAGTGCCATAGAAATTCATTGTACATCAAAATTAGCAGATATCTGCATTCGGATTGAAGGATGCGATGCCTCAGTGACAGTCGTTGCTTCTGCAGCGTCATTGACCTGTAGCCCCAGGCCAGTTCCAGTCCCGACAGTGGCGGATTTTCGACATTAACTACATAGCTAGGTCGAATCTAGCAATTGCCTGCAGGAGAATTCTAGCGGCCAGCTACTGAGATCGGTATTTTCCGTGACTTTGTGCCTTAATACAAGGGATTGGATATTACCTTTACCTATAGCAGTAGTACCTTTATAAACGGTCCACGGATCAGGCCTGATCTTTCCCTTCTTCATCCTTGTCCCTTCTCTCCTTCACACACACACACACACACACACACATACACACACGCGCGCGCGCGCGTGGTACACTAACATACAAGTCTCGAGACCAGCCGGAGACTTTCAGCTTATCCCAGCTAAAGCGGTGCCCGGCTGGGAGAGAGACTCGTACATGGAGGTACTCCGCTAGCCAACTTGTGGGGTCGACAGTAGCAATAATAATTCACTCATTATTGATTTAATTATTGAATGAGTCCTTGTCCTTGAACAGGATGGCTCACTGAGAAGATAAGGACCGATTCTGAAGGCACCTAGCGATTTACGAAATACACGTTGAATCCTTCAAATAATTGTATTATTTCTTGTGCCGGTGTGTTACTTCGAAATTTGCGGATATATTGCTCTCATATTTTACATTTTGGCTTTTGCCCTGGTTAAGCACGATTACTTTTATTATATTTATTAATTATTTCCTCCCTTTACACTTTTATAAGATCCAGCGCGATACGAAATGAGCCTTTTCGCTCGGTACTGTAGCGGTACAGAATTATTAAAATAAATTAAATTGAGTAAAGCAGACCTAAGAAATTTTTTACTGAAGAAAAACATACGGCGTCACGCGC